TGTTGCAATTTGGGAGCAACTTGGAGTCCTTGAAGAAAGCATAAAATAAAGAGGGCGGTTGGGAATCAGGTATGGCTTCAGCCACTTGGATTTTAAAACAGAACTGTCCACCCAAAGAACTATCCAAAAAACTGAGAACGGCGACATATTGAGGTAGTGGTGTTGTGTCTCTAGAGGCAAGGGACAAATCTGGAAGAGTTAATTAGTTGTGAAACAACGAGGCTGATCCTCAACTAACTACACATTAAAAACAGGCTCTCTTATAACAGCTTTATGATTAGTAATGAGCATTAATTACATCTGTATACATTAGAAGCAAACAAACAAGACATGCAAGCACCGCATATTTTAAACCAGGGCTATTTAATTTCCTCTACGCACTTAGGACTGTCTGAAGAACACTTGAAAGCACACTGGAAGTTTTCATCAAAAGATGGCCTAAAATGTTAGTGTTATTGCTATTACTTGTACGCAAATAACGAAATCGTTCTTCAAGTGCCGGTCCTTAATGTAGCCAAAATAGCATCATCCACATGCAAGAGGGAGGTATCAACACGCTTAGGAAAGACACTAAGGTTAGAAACCTTGCTGGGGGAGGAGGTTAAATCTGCCCAATGAGGACTGACCGTGCTCTTTTGTTGGAAATAGAATAGTTTTCCTGTTCTCGCAGTAGCCAACCAGATGCGTATGGAAACCCCAAAGTAGGACCTCAGCATGATAACACTCTCCCCACTTGTAATTCTCAGTGGATAATCCTCAGAGAGCATTCTGTTGCAAAGGCGGATCTAGGGGAGCGTTACTGGTTCGGTCACGCCGGGTGGGGAGCTTCGGGGGTGCTTCAGCAGGCGTTGCAACTATTATGTCCACAGAAGGCGGGGGGGGGGGCAGATTCTGGCATCACACAGGGTGCCACTGAAATCTGAGACTCCAAGGTCCACAACTGCCAGTTGGGTCACTTAAGGCCAGGCTGGCTGTTGGCTTCATACGTAGCGCAGTGCTACATTGACTTTTAACTGCTGTTTATACAATGTGGGCTGCTCATGTATAAGAGCAGCACAGGAACATATGAACCAAAGTAGGCACTCAGAATCATGATGCTTTTTGTCTGCTAAAAAAAAGGGGGGGGAGAGAGGAAGGAATTATTTAAGAGATTTTACCTAGAGAAATAGTTAAGTATTCAGGAGCATGCTAGTCGATGGGAGGGTTTCGTCCTGAAAGGTGGCACGTAAATCTTTGAAACAATTAAATCATATATATTATAGCAAAAATGAGCATCCCTGTTTGTGATACAAAGTAGATTATGGGGAAAGTATGAAAGGGCCAGCCCAAAATAAAATAAAATCCTGATATAAAAGCTATTGGTGGCCCTCACAGAGTGCCCTTAAGAGAATTTAACATCTTTGGAAAGGGACTTGATTTTCACATTGATCTTTTTATTTACAGTGTCTTGAAGTCTTCCCCATACGCTTGTCTTTGGCTTGTTAACAAACCTTGTCAGAGGGCAGAAAATCCATTAATCTTTGCACACCAAGTAGGAACACCCCCCCCTTCTTTCCGTAGTCTGACTTGCTTTTCCCTCTGAAAGAGCAATGGTGTTATTACCGTTTATCACCAAGTCAACTTTTCGGCATAGGAAAACCTGGGAAAACAAAGCAAATAAGAGGTTCCGTCTTTTTGTTGTAATGTGCATGCACGTGCACACACACACACACACACACACAAATCCCTTGTAAATAAGCACACAGAAATTGTTAGCCTGCAAACATTTTTTCCTACCCTGATCAAAGGCTAGTAGCCTGTCTCTGCATGCTGGCCTGAGGAGCGAAAGGTTAGGTAAAGCAGGTGGACTGCTGCAGGAGGGATGGAGCAATCTGCTTCCTCCTCTGCCAGACTGCTGCATTTCCATGCTGGTTGTGGAGAAAGAGATTTCCTTTCTCTTTAGGCAGCACAGTCAGCTGCCTCCTCCTGAGTCAGACCATTGGTCTATCTAGCTCAGTATTCACAGCACTGATTGCTAGAGGTTTGCTGAGTTTTCAGAGAGGGTTCTGTCCTAGCTGTACCTTAAGATGCCAGGGATTCAGCCTGGAGCCTTCTGCATGCAAAGCAGACACTGTACTACTGAGCTATGGTCCCTTTTCATGAAGGATTTTCCCTTCCACACAAACACACATATGATTAAATTTTTTTTGAGTCTTGAACTTATACTCTGAATGTAATAGTCTTATGAGGGTCTTAATGTGTATTGTCTAACTTCGTAATGTGGCAAGCCAGTTCATTCAGCTGAATGAGTTGCCCTGGACTTCTGCATTGAAGGTACCACTGGGTAGTTTTGGGAGACTACAGTACAGCCAAGATGCAGTATGGTGGGAGTGGCTTGGCAGAAGGGATTGGAATTGAAGCATGCCTGCTTCTTGAAGTCAGTAATCATCATAGCTTACAGCTACCCCATGAGGTAGGTTAGACTGAAGGACAATGCCTTGCCATTTCTAGGATGTTGAAGGCATCCACTGTCCTTTGAGCAGGACACGATGCACAAGTTCTCCTTATTCACTGGGATTCCAGAAGTAAGAAAAGAGGCTATTCAAGTAACTTGTGCAAGAGGCTATTTCTGAATCCACCGAACGACCCCAAAACTTGAGCACTTCAACAAAAGCATTTTAATGGTTAATATATAGAGGTTAAAAAATGCAGGTTTATAAAAAGGAATCAAAATGTGAAAACTATTCTCTCCTCTATTCTAGGATTCGTTGGTTTGTTCAGACCAAGCACTCATTCAGAAATGTTGATAGAGTATTTTCTGGATTGGTGATTTTTTTCTCTGATTCAGTTACTTACCGGTAGTTATGAATTGCTTCCCACAAAACATATTAAAACGGTGAGCAAAACAAAATAATTTGATCATTATTTTGTGCATCTGATTAAAAGAAGTGCAAACATGTTGGGTTTGGGTTTTTTTAAATGCCTCGGGGTGTCTTATGACTTAAGGTAGTGGGATAATTCAAAAGGACTTCAGAACACTGGAATGTTGACTTGCTTCCCTAGGTTTAATTATTGGAATGCACTGAAGAGATAGTTTTAACAAAGGCAGCAGCTAATCCACTTGCCCGCCATCATTAGCTGATGTCATAATCTTATCCTTTCTATGATACCCTTCATAGAAGCATTTGCATTCATTATTATTATGTAAAGCAAAAAGCACGACCAGGCCTGCCCCCAATGAAGAAGAAAGTAATATAAAATTTTGATTGGATGCTTACCATTCCAGATTGTGTGTTGCTATGGCTATCAGCCAATAACCTCCTTACCTACCCATGTCGGAGCATAATGCTCAATGTGCACATAAGTAAGAGCACAAAACATTTACATCACAAAACTAGGTGTCTCTTGCTTCATCCTGCATGACCCTCATCTCCAAATGTGGTGTCACCTGGTAGCTGTAAGCTATTAGGCAGCTGAGCTGGTAGCCAGACCCCATGAAGATGATGTCTGAATTCAGAAAGGAACCAAAATGAACTGCAATTAACAAAAGTAGACAGTAGTAACCAAGCTTCTCTGTGAAAATATGTTCAACCCCAATCTCTATTGGATGCAGAAGAAAATTCTTTCTAGCAATTTTTTTTTGTATATATGGCTATCCAGGTTTACTAAGCATACAAAAATTAAAATTCCTTGAGAAGGCACAAGGAAGGATCAAACACAAATTAACTATCCACACAGTAATTCAGTGAATACAGGTTGAGAGCAACCCATCTCACAAGGGATTTATTAATTTTTTTTGGCTCACTTTCAAGCAGTTGTCACATTCCAATTTGGAGTAGCAACGTTGGTGAAGGGGTTGTTTAATTCTAGCTCTTGGTGCTGTTTCCTTCAACCCTGAAGCTCCTATTAGATATAGTCACACTCTGGGTTTAAAAGAAGACTCTGGATATGTGTGTGTGTTTGTGGATTTAGATTTGGGGGAAAGGGTTAAACCAACCACTCCACTAAATTGGAGCCCTCCCCCATGACTGCTTTAAAGTTGAAATATCACAGAACTTGAGCATCACATCTGAATTGACCTAGTGCTTTCTTCTCCAAGACAAATGGATTTTCCAGTGCCCTTTCCCAGGTCACTTCCTGATGACCTGTTCATTGAGGATTTATCCAAATTTGTGTGGGGGAGGTAAGATGATTGCTATTTATTAAGAATTCATTCGTATCTGATGCAAGTGTTATTCTGCACTTTCCAGAGCCTTTTCCTTTCACTTTCCTTTTTGTAAAAAGCCTGATCTTTCAGGGAAGTGAGTTTGTTGCCCAAGACCATTAAGTCAACTCTAATTGTGCAACCTGAACTTCCCAGTATGCGATTGACTCCCCCTGCCCAAAAATCTCAGCAGAAGTGTCCCCTGCCCGGTATGCAAAGCCTTTATATTTCTGGAATCAAAGTTGCAAGGAAGCAACTTTTTATGTGTGGAAAATTATGCCTCATGATAGGTAATGCTCGTTTCTTCAACTTAATGAGATTCATTGCCAGTCATGTTTCTTATTTGACAGTTGACAAAATGGGGTATAATCCACTACAGTTTCTGTACCTATAGATGCAAGAGAGAGAGAGAGAGAGAGAGAGCGAGAGAGCGAGAGAGAGAGAGAATTTGCTTGGGAGGGAAAATAAATAAACTAAGTATACTGCTTCTCAAGTGGAAGAAGAGGAACCAGAATCTATAGGAACAAAACCCTGAAACAGCTAATATACCTCCCAACCAAAGGAAACCTGTTCTTGAGATAGGACATCTAGGAAATCCCTTTGCAGCTGTTGCATCTGAATGTAATAGCTTGCTAGCAGGAACACAAAATGGTACTTGCTCAGCTAGAACAGCAGATAACACAGCTTGAAAGGGACCTTGCAGATGCTTGGAAACTTTGTAGTCAGAAAGATCAGGTACGCTCTTGCGATGATAAAAATGAGCAAAACAGGTATCTCTTTTAAAAATCACATTGCAAAAGGGAGTGTGAGAAGCTATGATGTGCAGCACTATATATGTGTGTTGGGGGGGGGAGAGGTGAATTTCGAAAGGAGGAAAAAACCCACCCTGTTTTATCACAAATTTTGTAAGTACACATTTCTTTGGTGTTGGTCTTGAAACTTAAGATATGTTTGCATTTGTGATAACAATTCTATCCCTTCCAAAAAGCATGTTGATATGAAATAAAATGAATACAGCTGTATAAATGTCTGTAGAGATTTTAGAAACTGCATTTCCCATTTTCGCTGTGAATATGCTCAATATCAGAGACGGAGCTGGAGGCATTTTCCCTTCTATAAAAATGCACAGAGGCCTGGAGTTGTGTTTTTTTAATGCTATAGTCATGCGAAAGCTATCTGTATAACATACATGGGAGAGGGAAAGATAGGTGCATTGCTTTGGATGGAGATCTGCATTATGGGGAGCGGGGATATCTCAGTGTTGAGGTTTCTGGAATATGCTGCAGAAAGATTTCATTATGTTAAGCAGGTGGGGGAATTTTGGGGGCCCCTGCTATACATTTGTGTTTTGTTAAACTGAAGTGGCTATTCTAACAATGATTACAAAACTACAGTGACAAAGCTTATATTTTTGTGTGCAGAAATCTACCTCTATTTTATATAAAGGTACAAGGTAAAGGAATATAATTTTGCCATTCCTATATAAGAATGAAAATGGTTTTTAAAATCCAGGAGAAAATAAGTATTCCCCTTCTTAAAATAACATTTAGCTATTTTTTAGTATTTTAGAAAAAATCACTGATGATGAGAAATTAAATGAAAGCATGACAGGATATTATGTACTGCCTAAAGTTTTACACACCTGAAAAAATACGTTAATACAAATAATTATTGTCATGTTAACATCACAGCCAAACATATCTGCAGGTTTTAAGCTGTCTAAATCAATTTTACTTTCTCAATGAAGAATGTTTAACATTTGAACCAAAAACAGTACAGCACGAATAATTAAAGGCTTAAGTTAAATACATAGACAGTCATTTAAATTTAGATCTGCAATAACATTTACTATTATTCTCCAAGGCTTTGACTGTGCTTGACAGAAACAAAGTACTCTGGGATTAATTTCAAGAAGTGGTGCCAACTGTGTGCAATTTGCTGTAATTAAGACATGAAAGAGTACTAAATATTCAGATTAAAAGAAGCATGATGGAGCATGATAGAGAATCAAGGTGTGGCACTATGCCAACGAATCACAGGTGCTTGTGGATTCCCAGTTCCGGGCAATACAAAAGTTAAACTTATTGGCTGAACTTCTGCATCATTCAGAACTGTTTATTCATTTGCACTTGGCTATTCACAAGTAAATAGGAGATACACAAGTTGAGAATATATTTTTAAAATTGCAATTAAATTAAAGTTGAGGATTTTTTTTAAAAAAGCTATAACAAAACAAAAGTCAGTAAGTTAACTATATATATATTTAGACACATATATGAACATTCTAAAACAATTTACTTTGCATCTTGAAATAATGTTGACACTGAGATTTTTGCTGACAATTATAGAAGCACTTTAATTAACCAGAAAGAGAGGGTGGTAGCATTTTGTCTGGGTTTTTTGTATCCTTGTGGTGTGGTTGTTTTTGTGTTTTTGTGTTTTTTTTTTGCACATTCAGTTACCTTCCTACCAGCTGAATTGCAGTTGCTGGCTTCAAGCTGTTCATTTTCTTTTTATTCACCAAACCCTTAAAAAAACACACAAAAGAAAACAAAAATCCTCCTATCTGACACATTTAGATCAAGTAACTGTTTTCTTGCCCCCCCCCGAATTATGTGTAACATTTTCCTTTGAACAATTAATGAATTAATTTTAATAAAACCATTTGTCATTCTCCCCCCTCCACCTATTTTTTTTAATACAATGCAAAGTGTGTATGACTTTTTGATCTTATAGGACATGGGAGGACGTGACCTCTTTGCTAATGAGAATATGTATGTGCGTGTGTATAGATATATATAATCTCCCCGTTCCTATAGCTTGAAAGAGCAGGATACAGTATTTTTGTTGCTCAAGTTCATTGTGAAAGGTGGTATTGAAATGTTTTGTTTGTTTGTTTTCAGAGGCAATACGCAAAAGATGTCAGCTCTCCTGCAGGCAATGGGAGATATCAAAGCTGAAGTGGCTAAGGTGGAGCACTTTGACAGTCTGGTCAAGAAGCTGAAAGCAAGTGTCCAGAATGCAATGAAAGGAAGAATCTGAAGGCGAGAAAAGCCATCATATTTAGGACTGGGATTCAGCAGGTAAATCACGAGCTGCAGGATGCTCAGGGAAGCAGTGCAGAGGGACGAGGTAATAATGTATAAAAATAGTGATATTACTGCACTGTGAATTTGGCACAGTCTAATAGAATAGAAATATCAATCATATGGACAAAAGATTGCTGTAATCAAATGAACACAAAAGGTTCCCTGTCCAGCTTTAGGGGGAATTTAGAGCTGGATAGAGCAGCTTTATCAAACAGAAACAAACACAACCGAGTCCCTTTGTTTCTCTTCGCCATTGGAGAGTGTGAAAAATGTGTGTGGGGGAATCATTTCTGCATTAGGGAGCTTTGCACACTTGCTGATTATACACATTGTGAATTGGATAGAAGGCACACACATGTATTTGAGATGTGCGTGTGTGTGTCTGTACACACACACACACACACACACACACACACATACATATCCCCCCATACGCAGAGTACAATTAAGAGTCTTTATAAAGTCACACGATAAATTGCCAATGTAGAAATGGTACAGCGCAAAAAAGGATTGTTTGAATACCTTGAAGACAAAGGGCTGTTCTCACATGCATTGTAGCCAGCTTCCCCCCTTCCTCCCCCCTGCACAATATTTCCCATTTCATTTTGTCAGGCATTCAAAGAGGCATTCAGGCTCAGCCAATAATTTCTATAGCTTTCGCCTAGTACCTGTATCCTTGGAATCCTGCTTATATGTTAGAAGGTGTTTTTCAGGAGATAGTCAATACCGAAAGGACACAGCCTTATTATCATCTTTTCACATTATGGATCCACTCCTATAGTAAAGTTTTTGAAAGATATGATTTTTTAGCAAATAAAATATTAATGAAGTCATTTGGAACGTAATGGACAGCTTGTGTCAAACCCTTAATTTCCCCCTTCCGCTATTCACAACATTGCCAGACACATGTTTCTGGATAAAACCCCCTAGAGGTTTGCTGCAAATTCTTTTTCAATACAACCAGATCATTGCAGATAATTGTATTACACAGGGTATTGATCCAAAATCGTTGGGCACCGGAAACATCTGAAAAAACATGATTATAGCTTTCTGTTTATTGTTTGTACATCATATAAGCAGGCTTTTCTGTGAATCACCTGTAAGAAAGGCAAGGTGGAAACATCAGAGAAATTACCTCTTTACAAGAATCTATTGATCACTTTAAATCAAAGAAGTATGTTTGACATAAGATTACCTGCCAGTTTGAACATTAGGTACACTATGTTATAGCCCGAGGCAGTTGTAAGTCTGACAAAGGGATTGTAAATAAAGCATGCAGCTGCTAGTGCCTCTGGCTTGGGATCAGCAGAGGCTCAAGTCCAAGGCATAGGTAAACTTAAAATAATTTAACCCTTTTCAACCAGCACATGGAGAATTAGAGTAGATTCTTAAGAGTATTGGGAAACATAAATGGACTTTTATCGGTTTGAACAGGCAGGTCCTTCAGAAAGCACACATACCTTGACGTTTATATTTACCGGTTCTGTGGGGAGAGAAGGAGTGGGCAGTGCTTCAGATTGGCTTCATGTTGGGACAACTAATCAGCAGGCAGCGTGCATAGGCTACTTTGGAAAAACTTTGCATTTTTTGTCTAGCCTGTCTGTATTTGCAGGTTTTCAGTACGACTGCGTATGAGCCTGTCTGCATTAAATCATGTGAATGGCATGTGTGCGTGTGTTTGAAGTCTTCTAAATTTTTATATTTTGCACACAAAAACTTCAAAGCTGAAGCCAAGCTATCCTATGCTATGCAACGGATGCAGTGATTGCATTTACAGTCTTCTATGGCATGGGATATTTCTAGTGCTGAGACCGATCACACAAAATGATATAATAAATTGCTTACTATTATTGAACAATATAGTCAAGCTACTCTTTCTATAGGAGAATACTCGCCGGCTAGTTTATTAGCTTTTTTTGTGAACCAAAAAATATTCTATCCTATGTATGGCCTTCTGTCCTTTTATTAAATACCAGTAACCAAATGCTTCCTGGAAATCTTGCTCTGCAGTCTGAAGAAATGCTTACGATTTGTAAAATAAATCTATAAATGTGTTCACGAGAACTTTGGCAATATATAGATGTTCAATACTCTCCCCACACTATACAAACATACAAGCTCAGACTCACGCTTGTTGAAACAAGACCATACGTGTGTGTGTGTGTGTGTGTGTGTGTGTGTGTGTGTGTGTGTGTGTAAATTAGCATTTCATTTTTATTATGTAAGAGTTCCAGGTCAATAACAATGCTTGTGGTTTCTGTAAGTCTGCTAGAAATATATTTGCTGAATGTCCCAAATGCTCATAATTTTTAAATGAAATACTTTTATTTAGATTCAGCTCATCAGGGCAACTAAGATTGATTTCAAATATGTAAGATAAATGTAGGCTATTTGAGAAGACTAATGTGCCAATTTTTGTTATGACAATATTGGTTTTATAAGGCTCCAGTCCCTTTGCTCTGAATTAATTGAAGCCTAATTTACACATCATTCTTCCAACATAAACCAGGGTTATTAAAAGGGAGAGGTTTGAAGAGCATTGCCATCTATGCATATGTGACCTTTAATTTTGATTGTGATGCCTTCCCAGCAAGGCTCCTCTGCTTTCTTTCTTTTAAGGCTTGAATTGTGTGCACAACCTTCACTAACAGGCTTCAGTTTGGAAATAAAACACCCTTCAGTGATACATGTTTATTCTGAAATTTAATGCTGTACCTCATTAAACTTGGACTGCATTACTGAATAAACATTTGTATGTCTGCGGCTGTATATTTGCCAAAACCTTTTTAAAAAAACCCACGCCCTGCTATATATCTGTGCTAAAGGACAAATATTTAAATGAACACCTATATATGTATATTTCTTAGAATATGGTCAACAAAAGAACAAAGGAAAAATGTCTTTGTCTTAAAATGCCTATTTTTCTGAGGAAGCTTGAAACACACTGCCCTAGATTCTTTGGGCTAATGAAAGAGTGCCATCTCTTGGATGACCTTGGGAAAAGATTTTGTTTATATAGTCGAGTGGTACTCCACAATGGAAAGAATTTAGTGACGCAGAAGTTTTCAGTTTATACCTTAATTATATTAAAGATGTAGAGTGTTAATCTGTTGAAAAACGAGAGGCAGTTAATACCAAACAAAATTTCATTCTGAAAGTCTAAAACAAACTGTACCTGCTTTTGAAAATAATTGCTACACAACAATGGATGTTAGCTCAGCTACATAATATAATTTAGCGACTGATGAAAGTATTACACATATTTAATATTTATCTGAAGATATGTACTGGTTTTTAGAAACATCTCTCACTCCCTGTCTGTGTTTGTGTTTAATACTTGCAAGCAGAAATAGATTGTTTCAAGAAAAAACCCCTCACATTCTCAAAGTTCATTTACCACAGGTTTAGTAAGTGTAAAATGAAACAACAACAAAAGTATGTCGCTGGCTTCTTTTGAAACAGTGATGCTTTTATTATCTTCCAGCCCAAGAATTTGCCAGCCAGGATGAAAAACTTCTAATGGAATCCAGCTTGAAAGCAAGTCAAGAGCAGCTAAGTGAGGAAAGAGCAGAACCAAGTTCGCCCCGACCAGTAGAAAATCACAGACAGAACTGAAGCCACTGAGCGAACGCATTATAGATTCTCATGAAGAAATTAGTGATTACAAGTGAGTTACTGTTTGTTTTGATGTTTCAGTAAGGGTTGAAGGCGAGCCAGAAGTCAGCAATAATTCTTTCAGCTCTCTGCTGTAGGGTTTGTTTTGCTCTGGTGGTGTGTTTTGTAAATGTCTTTGACTGATGTATTGATTGAATCAAGTATTAAGTAATTGATAAACTCCGTTTAAAACTAGCCTTTCAGTTTTTCATCCAAAATGTGTTAACCAGAAGTCTTTTTAATGCCCCCCTTTCCCCCCTCTGAAAACGTGAAAATCTGCTGTTGAGGGGGAAAATAGTTTTCTTTATTGTCTATCTGCCAGTGGCATTCTCATCTTCCTCTCTTTTTGGGGGTCTGAAGGTTACATATGGCTCTTATTGTCTGTCTTTTTTGGTTCAAGAAGCTGCCTCAAAGCAAGACGCTCCCAAATTAAAGCAAACTTAAGAGTTTGAGCTTCTAGTCTGAGTAACGAGTAACATATGAAGTTGCTAAAATGAACTCAAATCCTAATCCTAATAGGTCTCTCTCTCTCTCTCTCTCTCTCTCTCTCTCTCCCCCCCTTTAAGGAAAATGCTAAAACTTTCAAAGAGTTTTTTCATGTTTATGAATCATAAATTGATTCATTGTTCAGTTTTCAAGTGAATGTTATGAAAGGTATTCATCTCAGCTAAATGCCTTTGTCTCTTTCACTATATGTAAATACTCTGAATAATGCATTCTTCTTGCTGAATTTGTTACATTGTGCATTCAATTTAGGTAGCTTTCTCAGGCTGGGTCTTTTTTTCCTTCGATATCACAAATTAAATGTGAACTTCAGAAGTTCTAAGATACGTTTCCTGAAGTGATGGCTTAATCACAAAGAGGTTTTTATTAATACGAAAGTTGCAGCGAGGTTTGGAGCTTTCTCCCGAGATATCTACATCTCTGATTCCACTGCAATGTCAAATGATGAAACTTTGTCACACAGCTATTATGCAGTGCTATGCCTAGCAAGATTATGATTGTTTGGAATTTACCTGTAGATGAGACTGGCAGGGGCCCTTAGAATCCCAAACAATTGCTTTGCCACACACTCTTCTATGTGCGTAAGAAAAAGAAACATTTTTGTCACTTAATATAACAATGTTACGAGAGATCCTGAAATCCTAAAGGGACCATGTCAGCCACATCTAAAGGTAAATTTGCAAGCAGTAGAAGTATGTTTGGCAGGTATAACTTTGCAATAGTTGTGATGCCATTATTGTGGATTATTGGGAGCCCATAGGTCCACAATGCAAGACCACTTACATTGCCTGTTTCTTTTGTTTCTTATGTATCCTTACATCCTGTGTGAGAGAAGCTCAAAATATCCACACAATCCACTTGTACTTTTCTAATTCTATGTTATGAGTGGAAAACAAAGATACCCCTGAACTTGACAAAACAGGTAAATCTATCCACCACGTTACTCAAAGCTTCCATATCTGGGGAAAATGTTACTGGAAAGGTATAAGTTGTTCATTTACTGGAGAGGCATGTGAACAATTACTACCAAACCAGGCACTGCACCCCACTTTTCTGCATGAACCTTCAGCTTAGTTCTGAGTTGTGGCATTGTTCCCTTTATGCCACATTGCTCTTTTCAGTTTCCCTTTAAGAAGACCAGTCTTCATTTGTGAAACTGAAGTTCCGAGTAGAACAAAACTTTATAATGCGACATTTCATATTAGAAGCACCCAGTTTAATCTAAACTAAACTAAACAATTAAACTGATTCATACCCATTTAAGAACTATAGGTATCTATTTAGTCATAATTCTAAAGCTGCAAATGTGGACTTGATATTGAACCTTATTGCTCAGTCCTTCTCTTTGCCAAATTAAGAGGTTGTGTAGAGAGCTTGTTCAACTTTTGCTGAATCTCATTTGCTTGTGTGTTTAGCAACACCTTGTTTCAGGCTTAAGCACTGGTACAAAAACCCAGACTTTAGAAGCACTAGCACATGGCTGCCTTATGCAGGCAGCAGTAATGCAGCTGGTGGGCTGTGGTCACACACAGTTCCCTTTGCCATGGTGAGTGGCTATAGACCAGTGTTTCCCAACCTTTTTTGGGCAAAGGCACACTTGTTTGATGAAAAAAATCTTGAGGCACACCACCATTACAGCCCCGTGACGTCAGCGCGCAGCGTCACGCCGGGAGGGAAGGGCGCCGGGGCGCTGCTGCTGCTGCTGCCACCGCCGCTCCCGGCAGGCATGGGCCCAGCTGAGGCGGCGGCGGCTGTTGTGGTGGTGGCGGCGATAGCGGGCGGAGGAGGGGGCGGCGGCGGGGCCAAGGTGGCCGGCGGCGGCGGGGGAGGCAGCGGCGGGTGGAGCAGCAGGAGGGCGGCCGAGGCCGGTGATGGAGTAGGGTTGCCCGGGGCTTGAGGAGCCGTCGCCGGGAGTTGCTGCTGCTGTTGTTGCTGCTGCTGCCCGGACATGCCGGCCTCCTCCTCGTCCGCTGTCTCGCGCTCCTCCCTTTTGCGCGCGCTGCCCCGCCGCCGCCCCATTGGCCGGGTCCTGTCAGCTGATCCTGTGTTATTTCCTGTGTGTGTGTGTGTGAGGGGAGAATGGAGAGAGAAACCTCGGCACCACCACCGCGGAGCCGCCCCCGGCTCGACGCGGATCCTCGCCGCCGCCGCTCCGCCTCTCGCCGCCCGACTCGCCCGCCTCCCTCCCACGGCACACCAGGCAACGTCTCGCGGCACACTAAAACACTTGCTATAGACAAACATTGACCAAGTGGGAAATTGCCATGGTGTTTCAGGTAAACAGCTGGTAAGCTGGCCACAAGGACTGCCCTGTAAATTGCTTCAGAGAATTCTACCACTCCTGCACTTCCAGAGAAAAAAATATTTTCTGATTGGGCATCATGTTACAGACAAACGTCTTTCCACGTGTTTGTATGTACATCTTGGTAAGTAAATGCTTGTTTATATTCACCCAGTGAGTAGTCATTTCAAAAACCGTGGAGGCACTAATTTGGTTTCAGATCACATCCTGTGGTGGGCACAGGAAGCTGCCTTTTACTAAGCCAGATCACTGGTTCCTCTAGCTTACTATTGTCTGCACGGACCAACAGTGGCTCTCCAGGGTTTCAGGCAGGGGACATTCCCAGCCAGAGGATATTGCTGGACATGCCAGGAAATGAACCTGAGACCTTCCACATGAAAAGCAGATACTGTACCAGTTTGCTATGGTCTTTCCACTGCTTAATGAGGCTGATTCAAAGCACTATAACCACCATGAAGACATTGCCTGAAACACTGGTTCATGATAGTATTTGCATAACCTAGAGCATTTGAAAGCTATTCATCAGATTGATCTCTCTAGTCTTTTGGAAGTTTCTACACCAGTGCCTATGCAGCCTGAAATGCATGCTGTTGGCACGTAGACTCTCCATATGGCTAGCGCAAGCCATATGATGAATGGATTTCAGGTGTTACTACCTACCACATGAAAGCCAGGAGAATTTCTTGCATTACTATCAGCCTACTTGAGGCTGTTAAGGCTATAATATTTGAATTAAGGCTGAGAGCCAAAAAGAATTCTCACAAAAATAATTTTCTGTGAAATTTTTCATTTCTGAGCTCTTTCTGAACTGATGGTAAAATCCGTGCTTCTGCTAGAGAATAGTCAGGGACATGACCTCCCCAGTTTTGCCATTCATGTAGATACAGGTTTTATATTTATTGATATTTTGTTCTAGCAAGCAACTCCCTCTAGTCCTTTTAGCCCATTCCTTCCTTTATCCACCAATATGAGTTGAAAACTAATATTAAGTGAGCTTTTTCTCAGAAGAGAATTTTCTAAGAACTCTTGGAGATCTCTCTCTCTCTCTCTCTCTCTCTCTCTCTCTCTCTCTCACACACACACACACACACACACACACAGAGAGAGAGAGACAGTATGTAGCGAAATGACCTCCCAAATTAGAAGACACTTTTGTATTCACCCCTGATTTAAACTGACCCATAATCTCACTACATTGTAGTTGCAGCCACAAAGAGAAGCCTTTTCCCTGTAGCAGCTAGTCATGAAGCAAAGCTCATGCTCCCACATTTCTCTCATCCCAAAGCTCTATGCATTTGCAGTGTCTATGGGAGTATCAGGTTCACTGTCTGAGCAACTGCTAGAGAGGAGCTATTCCCCATATCCATGCAGTGAGATTATAAAGGGCCATTTATATAGCAGAAGAGGTGGGCACACCCTAGCTGGAAGAAACCTTCCTCTCCAACCTGCCTCATTGCTAAGAATATGTACAGAAGCCAAGGACATGCTATGAGCATGGATGGGGGATCCTTGCAAGTCAGGGTAATGTCCTGGGAGAATGGTAACACTGGCTTTTCCAGCCCTAACTGCAGCAACTTAAATGAGCTTTGTGCCAACACTGAAACTCAATAAGAACTTGGTTTTCAGTATGGCGAACGGGCTAGTGCAGGGAGGGTGGAGTCTGCAGAAATAATATGGAGATTGCAGAGGACAGGTAGGTGAGAAGTTATTCCATTTTGTTTTCCGTTCAGCAATCTATTTAAAATTGTGTGGCATGTTTGTACATGTGTAAAACCAACATGTGCAAAGTTATCTCCTCTATTGTTACCAAAATGCGAGTTCCTAACATGAGTACAAAGTAATGCTTTACCTTATTTGATGTAGTATAAAATGAAGAAAACACCCAACAAGGTATAGGTAGGCCAGAAAGAAAATATTTAACAGCTGTAGAAAATTCACAGGCTTTAAGATATTTATTACCACTTATTCTGGACGAGCTACATGTAAAGTTTGAAGGGGGGGGGCAAGCTCAGCTACAACAACCCCACTATGTAAGCCTGTTACACTTGAAAGATTTGTTCAGAATGTCCAGTGGGAACCTGGAAATCGTAATAATTTGTAGTATCGATTGTGTGAAGCTATGCAGCTGGGGCCCCTAGTGAATAGACAGGAATAGACATTTTATTGATTAACTTTTACAGTCATATTTTCAAGACTCTGCTGCAACA